CAGACAGACAGACAGACAGACAGACAGACAGACAGACAGATAGGATACATTTCACAAACACTTGACTTTATGAATATACTTTTTTTTAAAAAATAGATTCTATGGAATGCACATTTTATAGAAATGATTCAGAGTAGTTCACTATGAAACTATGAAAATCATAAATGTTCAGATAAGTAAAAATGAAACAGCAGCATGCCTACTAATCCTCACTCTGACTTGTACACTAATCAGTTTTTTTGCACATACTGCTGCATTATTTTGCACATAGGCTACATGCAGAAGATTAGCAATAGATGGTGGTATGATTTCTCATTCTTAATCAGATGAGTTCCAAAAGGAGCTTTTATTGTATGATCTTCCTCTTTTATTCACAGAATTTCTATGGGATTACGGGGTCTCCAAATGAAGTCATAATTCTAATTCTTGTTGTAGACATTATAAGAAGAGAGCCATGTTAGGCTATAGTGGCAAAAAAAAATCAGAAGGAGTCGAGTAAATTAAGGAATAATGGCAAGTATATTAAACTTTAAAAAACAGAATAAAAGAAATTGGAATGGGTCATTTAGGATATCAAGCACAATCACCTTGTATAGAGTTGAGAACTTATGGCACTCTGCTTGATACCTCCCTCCAGTTGGATGAGAAATCATTATGAGCATTTTTTGAGTGTGACTTATGAACCAGTTTTGTAGCCACTTAATAGCTGTCCATATTTTATTAGCTTGTTAATTAGAATATTATGTGATAATTTATGAATTCACTGAATAAAATATTTCCTTACAATCTATTTATCTATAAAGGAATTTACACCATGGGGGGAAAAAAGAGATTAGGAGCCTGGCAAGATTTGTTCTTGACAAACTCATTCCAACTTATGGGAGCTATCACGTTACTTTCAAAGTTTTTACAGTCCAATTACTTTATGATCTGATTTAGAATCAATGTCAGAATGATTGGTAACAATATCAGACCCCAAACTCTCCTTTTTCCCAATTTGCTCTTCACCTGTCCTTCACGATTTCTCAAAGATAACATATAAAGGTTTGAAGTCCCATCTTTCCCACCTGTACATATGTTTTGCATATAATATAAGAAAGAAAAGAAACATTCAATACAATTGGAGGGTAGCATTCACTTGACAAATGGAAGATGATGATAACTATGGAAAGTAACATAGCTAGGGTACAGTAAAGAGTATTGGTCAGTATTTACCTCCTAGTTAGTGGGAATGCAAGTAATTGTATGTTAGCTGGCCAAGTGCTGTCTAGATGTGAGAAACTAGTTTGCATAAAATAACATGAGTATACTTGAGATAAAACTGCACTTTGTGTTTATGGCATATTGAAAACATGCCACGTCTGACTGGTAATGTCCTTACTATTAGTACAGAAAACTGTATGTGGTGTACCATAGATATAACTCAGAAGGTTTTCTAGCTTACTAACTCTTCTCTAGCTTACTAAAAAGCACTATATGAAACAGTCAATTGGCCAGAGCCATTATGGTGACTATGTTTCAAACTTGAGATAGGGCAATCCAAACTTAATTTAAATTTACTTCAAATTTAAGTGTAATTTATTAATTTGGTTTAAAACATTTTTGCATGTTCCTTTTGGATTGTGTAGCAAGTTAAATTTTTGTGGGTGTTGCTATGTATATGTCTAATCAGAAGTAAGTGCTTTGAGTTTAGTGGGAATTATTTACAGGTAAATGTAATCTAGACTGTGTCCTTACTTGTCTAAATGCAGAGTTTTTGCAAGCAGATGATAGCTTCATTCTTTTCTGTTATCTTAAAAGATTAGCATAAGGACAGCATTCCATCTGTTACTATGGAAACAGTAAGGATCTGTCATTTTATAACTTAACAATTTTCTACCAAACCATGAGCAAAATATAGTACTGTTAATACTTACCTTTGTGCTCAATACTTTGCTCCTTTCTCTGAAATATATTGTGACTCAAAATTACAATTATATGGTTTCTTACATGCTAGATTATAAAAAGATAACCTCCTGTAAAGTATATAATTAACTTAAGACTGTCTGACCCAAATGTGCATAAAGTAGTTTAAAATTCAGCAGTGATAAAATCGATCTTTTGTGTGTCTTGATTTATGCATAATTGAATAACCAGATAAATACATGTCGATCAGTTTTTTAAAAAATGTTCATTGTAAAAATGTATTGAAACTATAATTGAAATACACAATTTTCTACTTTTACTCTAAGCAGAAAATTGTGCATTTCAATTATAGTTCATCTAATGCAATACGTAGCAGATATGGTCAGCCTTCTAAAAATTCATTGATAAATCCTTGTAATGTTTAGCATGCTTTGTTTAACTTTGTGAGGTGTCCAAGGGATTCATGCGTCTGATAAAATTTCCAAAACCTTCAAATTCTATACAGAAAAAAAAAATCTGATATCAAGAATTACTTCCTGAATAACTGTGCTAATTCACTTCCAATTCATATTAATTTTATCCTGGTTTCACTGTATTTTAGCATAACTGAATATGAAAAGTATCTGCCATTAAAATGTCAAGTAAAAAACTAGTTCCTAGGATAAACTGTAAATGTTGATTGTTGATCGCGTAATCACATAGTGCTTTATTATATGGCACAGCAATAATTGGATTGTGGTCAGAAAATATAAACATAGCATAAGCATGAACATAGTTTAAAATACACATTTATTTATTTTCTGCTATTTTGTTTCCCTTCCATTATGTAAAATCAGCTGCCCACAGTGACATAGTGACATATTTAAGATGTTTTCTTAATATTTTGAAAACCAGAAGCTATATGGCGGCGGCCTCATTTGGCTGAGGCTGCGTTGGCTTCCAACAGTTTGGTGATTGAGCAGCAGAGTTGTGCCGTTAGATTGATATATGACCGGTAACACATACTGGAACTGCAGATGTGCAATGGGCGTCCTGCTGCTTTGGGGAGACTACTATGCCTTGGGCTGATGCATCAGCAAGGTCCAGAGACTTACGGGATTGTGGGGTCTTTCACCAGCATTGGCTGCTTTTCGAGGAGATGGAGAAGACAGAAGAGGAGGTGGAGGGGCAGTGTGATAGAGAGCGAAGGCAGGGAGCCAGGGAGTACTAACAGCAAGGCTAAAGGTTAACCACATAGAGCGCCACTTCCATCCATTTTGTTTACTAATGTTCATTCTCTGGAGGACAAAATGGATTATTTGAAGTTGGATTTTACAACAAGGCATGAGGTGAGAGACTGTTGTGTTATAGTGCTGGCAGAGACGTGGTTAGAGTCATCTGTTCCTGAGAAGGCTGTTGGTATGAAGGGCCTAACAATGTTTCGGCTGGACAGGAGTCTTGCTCTTAGTGGAAAAAGTCAAGGTGATGGTGTATGCATTTATATCAATAACAGGTGGTGCATTAACTCAAAGGTGGTTTCAACTTATTGTTCATCTGATGGAGAGTTGGTGACTATCAGATGCAGACCCTTTTATCTGCATAGGGAGTTCACCGTTATTATTATTACAGCTGTGTATATAACCCCCTCTGCAAATATGAAGGAGATTTTGAAAGTCCTTTATCACACCATCAGTGACTTGCAAACTATCTATCCGGAGGGTGTGTTTATTGTACTTGGAGATTTCAATCAGGCTAATTTGAAAACAGTCCTCCCTCGTTTCCATCAATATGTGGATTTTGCAACTAGGAGTAGGAACACATTGGATTGAGCCTATTCTAACATCAAGAGTGCATTTAAGACTTTTCCCTACGCCAATCTTGGTTCCTCAGACCATCTCACTGTAATGCTAATTCCAGGATATAGGCCTTTGTTAATTAGAGAAAAACTAATTGTGAAGCAGGTGAGAGTTTGGCCTGAGGGAAGCATTACGAGGCTGTTTTGAGTGTACAGACTGGGATATGTTTAGGGAAGCTGCAACGAATAACTAACATACGAATGTGGAGGAATACCTTTCATCTGTAACTGCAGATATTCAGAAGTGTATGGAAGATGTCAGTGTTACTAAGAACATTATTTTATGGGCGAATCAGAAAGCTTGGATGACTCATGAAGTATATGTGAAGTTGAAAGTGAGGAACGCTGCTTTTAAGTCTGGTGATATGGGGGCTCTTAGAACAGCCAGAGCTGATTTGAACTGGGCTATAAGACCAGCAAAGTGGGCTTATGGTCAGAAAGTTCAGAATTTCTTTCAAGACTCTACAAATACCAGGCAGATGTGGCAGGATATTCAGACTATTACAGATTATAAGGCTACTCCGACATCATGTGAGGAGAATATAGATTTTCTTAATGAACTTAATAGGTGTTTTGGTAGGTTTGAAGCATTTAACAATATTCCTGCAAGGAAGGTTGTATCTCATCCTGACAAGCAGGCACCTACCCTTGATATAGTGGACGTTCAGAGGACCCTGAGAAAAATTAATATTCGAAAAGCAGCGGGCCCAGATAATATTTCAGGGCGGGAACTGAGGGACTGTGCTGAACAGCTGGCCAGTGTCCTCACAGACAAATTCAAAATTTCCTTGCACCAGGCTGTGGTCCCGGTAGGCTTTAAGACTGCGACTATTATACCTGTGCCTAAAAAAATCTATGATCACATGTCTTAATGATTATCGCCTGATAGCACTCACTCCCATTGTGATGAAATGTTTTGAGAGGCTGATGAAGGATTACATTGTTTCCAGACCCTCCTTTGTTTGATTCACTTCAGTTTGCTGATCAGTGAAATCACTCTGTAGAAGATACAATTTCTTCTGTTCTTCATTCAAGTCTGGTACATCTTGAGGAGAAGAACAGTTATCTGTGATTGCTGTTTATAGATTTCAGCTCAGCATTTAATATGATTGTTCCCCAGCATTTGGTGGACAAACTGGGTTCGCTGGGTTTTACTACTCCCTTGTGTAACTGGCTTCCTTACTGAGAGATCTCAGTTGGTGCGAGTTAGAAATAATATCTCTAGTTCTACCTCTCTCAGCATCGTCTCCCCACAGGGCTGTGTTCTGAGCTCATTGTTGTTCACCCTGATGACCTATGACAGTTGTGCTAGGTTTTCCACCAATTCTGTTGTGAAATATGTGGATGATACAACAGTGGTGAGTCTGATCAGGAATGACAATGAGTGGGCTTATAGGGAGGAGGTGAAGGATCTGGTGGAATGGTGTAATAAAAAGAGTTTGGTCCTAAACATGGAAAAAACTAAGGAGATTATTATAGATTTCAGGAAGAACCGGTGTAGTCACACTCCACT